AAATTTCAATCGCATTTTTCTCGAAATATGAATAAGTAAACGAAGAGAAATATGCAGACACTCCTACACACATACACCTACACACACGCACACATACACACACGTTTATTTCCTTCTCTCTTCATTTCTCTCCCTTTTCTTTCTTTCTTACCCTCTTTCTTCCTTATGCATTGGCCAGTTCATCACGTTTTTATTCATTTCAACATCTGGTTGCACGAACCTTCAGAAGCAGAGTAAGAAACGACATAATTTTCCAGTTTTGTCCCAATCATTCTGGCGAATATATTTATGTCTCTATAAAGTAGAAACGAACCTGATAAATGTTTGAATATATTTCAAGCGGGCGGAGAATAAGCGATATTTGAGTAAATCGGTGGTTTTGCGTATAATCGTTCGTGACATATTTTCCAATAATAACTATAATGATGATGATAATAATGACAACAAAATAACAATAATGATAATGATAACGAAGAACATGTAGGTGATTGGGGAAAGGCATCGCTACCCTGCTGGATATCCTTAAAATGTGGCATCAGAATAATAAGAAAATAACAATAGTAATAATAAATAATAAAATAATAATAATATAATAATAAAATAAAATAACAATGATAAAGATAATGATAAAATAACAACTATAATAATTATAATAATAATCATAATAACAATAATAACTATAATAATGATAAAAATTAACTATGATAAAGGTAATACAATAATTATAACATTATAACTCTAATAATGATAATAATGATGACAACTAAATAACAACAATAATGATAATAAAGCAAGCACGTTTGATAAATGGCAATTCTTTTACATAAAGTAGATATGATGCAACACATCGTATCTACTTTCACTTTTTTTGCAATGGAAGCTTTAGAACATGGGTGCCAAACTTAAAAAAAAAATCTTTTAGCGATTTTTTTTCTTTTTCTTTGATCTTTTTGGAGCATTTTTTTTTCTTTTTCTTTGATCTTTTAAGGGACCATCTTGAGCGCCAACAAGTGTTAAAACCTGTTATTTTCTTGTACGTTCGTTATCCTGATCAGATTTTCAAATGGAATACTAATGGTAACAGATTGTGCAAGGCGATATTTTCTTTAATGGCGATCATAATTTTAAAAATTAGTAGAGTATGGCACTCCTGGACTATTTAAATTCATTGCAAAAACACAATAATGATAATAAAAATAACAGCGTTAGTAATAATCTTAAAAGTAACTAATCGTTTAAAAAGGTCGATTGTAAGCAAATGTTCCGTGGGTCTCGTGTTTGAATCCCCTGCTTTAGGATTTAGATTATTTTTGTGATGTATACATTCGTTCATATATAGCATATGCATTCAGTATATATATATGTGTGTGTGTGTGTGTGTGTGTGTGTGTGTGTGTGTGTGTGTGTGTGTGTGTGTGTTTGATTTGCGATTTTATTTACGTGTTTACACTTATCCCGTGTTCCAACCCTTGTGAACTGTCTTCGAAACGACAAAAGATTCGATCTTCGGAAGGGTTTTCATCTTTTGCCGCGCAAAGGTCAGTTAATAGTCACAGCAATATCTTGTCTATTTTGATATCATGATAAAAACTAGGGGGAATGAAACGCATGGTATATTTATCTACTTTTATCATCATTATTTTTTTTTTCAGGAAACTACACGACCCAAATATCTACTAAAAGGTATTAATCAAACTTGCCTGAAAGTTCATGCTCCTAACTGTCACAAACATTGACAGGAAACGCCCCTCCATGTCAGTTCTAAGCACAAAAAACCTCTCGGCTTTTTTTTTCACACTTCAGCTACACAACTTACTTCCAAAGTGAAATAATTACCGGAACATGACGATGGCTGAAGCACTCCACCGCGCTTGTCTTCGGACGATTCGGTACTGAAGGACTCCCGCGTTGCTCCAGCCGATCTGTTTGTGTGGAACGTAGGACCCCCTCCTTCGAAGGGGGTCCTCCTCGCGGACCATCGGCGCTGATAGGAGCCCCCCCTCTCCCTCCGGTTTTGGCCAACCTGTGGAGTTACCTGGTCTTCCAGTTCCTCCCTTCCAGTACCTCCTTCAGGATGGCTTTTCCCTCCGGTCTCTGGACCCTGCTTGTTTCCGGGAGAAAGGGAACTCCCTCTTGCCTTCCGCCCATCTCGAGGTCGCACGGGAGGCCGAGGACGATTTTCCTTCCACTCTACTCCTTACCTCTGATAACCTCTTAACTTGCCCTTTTTCAATGTGCAGGAAATCTATGGGCGGTGCGATGTGTTTGCGTTTCTTTCCTCAGCGCCACCTCCGCGTCAGGAGAGCAATCGCCACCTCTTCGCGCGCCTCCAACCTGCCGTCTTCAGCGCCTGCCACTTCTTCGGCGGGACGAGCCATCTCCGCCGTGCCCTCCGCAACGCAGACGGACGGAATCTTCAACAAGCTGCCTGATGTCGACCGTGCCTTCGTCTTCTCTCCTGCCGAAGGGTCTCCTCGCTTCCCACGACCTTGACTTAAACTCACATGACGTCTTCACCTAAAATAACCCGACCTGCTTCACCTGACCAGCTTCCCCTGCCCTGTGCTGCTCCTCTGCTACTTTCTAAAATATCATGATCTACCTCTGCACATCTACATACTTCTCATGATCTCCTTTCTTAACGCAGATACTCAATTAATCTCTTTATCTGTCTTACTTTTGAGATTTATACATAGACGTTCTCGTTCGCTGTCTCTCATTTGGTCTTTAGTAATGTCAACGGTGTACTGATAGTTGTTTTCACTGCGATTGCAATAGAGTGCGGTGCGTCTTTGCAAGCTACAAGCTGACCAGTCCTCTCTCTCTATCTGTCTCTGTCTCCTCTCTCTCTCTCTCTCTCTCTCTCTCTCTCTCTCTCTCTCTCTCTCTCTCTCACACACACACACACACGCACATACACTCACTCTCTCTTGATCTTTATTTATCTCTACCTACCTATCCATCTCTTCTCCTCCTTTCACCCTCCTACCTTCTTTCTCCCTTTCCCTCCAACTCACTCCTAACCCCTCCCCCTCTCCCCCTCCCCCCTCCCCTCTTCCCTACAGAGCTTCCGGCATGGCCTCGCAAACGGTCACGAAGTTGAGCAGCAGAAAGCAGAGCCCCATCGATGTCTTTGCACCGACGAAGGGTATTTTGGTCACAGCTGCACAGTTGTTAAGGAGGAAGTTCCCGGATCCCACGACGTTCTGGTTCCAGACTACCACGGTGTCGCCGGCTATGGCTGATGGGGGGGGGGACCAATACTGTTACTATTGCTGTTATCATTGTTATTACTATCATTATTATTATTATTATTATTATTATTATTATTATTAATATTATCATCATCATCATTATTATTATTACGATTTTTTTATCATAATTATTATCATTATCATCATTATTATTGCTATTATTATTATTATCACTATCGTTATTACTATTATTATCGTTACCATTATTATTATCATTATCACTACTATTATTATCATAATTATATTTTTGTTACTCTTATTATTGTCATTACTGTTATCATTACTATCAACATAATCATATCATTATCATTAAATAATATTATCATTATCATTGTTATTACCATTACTATTATCATTATTGTAATGTTTATTATCACAGTCATTATTGTCATCGTTATTATTATTACTATACTCATTATTATTAGTGTTATTATCATTATCATTATCACTATTATAATTATTATTACTATCATCTTTATCATGATTATTACTATCATTGCTTCTGTTTTCATTATTTTAGTATCAATATTATCATTAGAATTATCATTATAATTGGTATTATCATCTTTAGTGTTATTATATCATTAGAACTATCATTAATATTATTGTTACTATTCTTTATCGTTACAATCAATTTCATTGTTGATATTGATATTATTTCCATCATTATCATCGTCTCTATTAGTATAATCATTATCATTATTACTAGTCATTAACATTATCATTACTATCATTATCAGCATCATAATTATTACTATGATTATCATTATCATCATTATTACTATTATGAATATCACTTTCACTATTGTTGTAGTTATAATTATTGAAATTATCTTTACTATTATCATTATTGCTATTCCAATCACTATTATTCTCATTATCATTAATATTATTCTCATTATTATCAATTGTATTACTATCATAAATATCATTGTTCTTATTATCATCATTTTTATTACCATTATTATTTGAAACAATACTATTATCATTAGTATCATTATCATTTTTATTATTATTATAAATTTGATCATTATTATCATAACTCTTCCTATAATCATCATTGTAATTATTATGATGACCATGATTATTATTACTGTTATTATCATTATTATTTTCATTATCACCATCATTATCATCATTACTATTATCTTTATTATAGTAGTAGTCTTGTGATTGTTATTATCATTATTCATCATTACTATCATTATTTTCATTACATAATTTATTACCCATCGTTATTATCATAATCATTATCATTAATCATTCTATTATCATTATCATCATCATCAATATCACTACTATTATTCCTATCATTAGAAGTAATTCATACATATTGGTAAAATAATATTCGAAAACTGATCTATTAAAGGGTCTAAAAATAGTAACAAATATAAAGAGAAAAAAAAATAGAAATTTGCATCATAAAAAGTAAAAAAAAAAAAAAACAAAAAAAACGGTAAAATCTCAAAGAACACATGAGAATACAAAGAGAATACATAGCAACAGCATGATAGAAGTTTTTTGGGGAGAGAAGAAAACAACAAGAAAACAACAAAACACATAGTGGCAGCATAATAGATTCGTTTTGGAGAAGAAAACAATAAAACACATAGTGACAGCAAAATAATTTGCTTTGGAGAAGAAGACACAAAAAAAGAAAAAAAAGAAGCAGCATAATATATTCGTATTGGAGAAGAAAGCACAACAAAACACATAGTGACAGCAAAATAGATTTGTTTTGGAGAAGAAAATACAACGAAAAAATAGTAACAGCATAACAGAAGATTCGTTTTGGAGAAGAAAACACAACAAAACACAGTAACGGCAAAATAGATTCGTTTAGGAGAAGAAAGCACATCAAAACACATAGTGACAGCATAATAGATTCGTTTTGGAGAAGAAAACAACAAAACAAAGTGACAGCAAAATAGAAGATTCGTTTTGGGATAGAAAACAACGAAAAACACAAACAGCAAAATAGATTCGTTTTGGAGAAGAAAGCACAGCAAAACAAAGTAACAGCAAAATAGAGGATTCGTTTAGGAGAAGGAAGCACAACGAGGGCGGCCAAACAGGGGTACCAACATGTTCCGTCGTTCCAAACAAGCTGTCCCTCCACAGCCTTGTCATTGATGGGCACGAAACAGCCGAAATCTAAAATGCCCATTTTACTCATCATCCAAGACCAATCGGAGGAGCTCCTTGGGATAAACATATTTGCGTATCTGTTGTTGCAATAAAGGAGAGCCAAGTCCCAGCTGATCGGAATAAGGCCCGACCGAACAAGGACCCAGCGGCCGTCGTAAAGAGAGAATCCAGATGCCGAAAAATCTGTCGGTGAAGAGATTTTTTTTCTTTTTTATATACAGGAATGAGAAGGAAAACAGACACGCTAAGAAATGTAAATAAATGATTCCGTTTCGAATTCTTTCACGAGTTTCTCCCCAGACGAAAAAATGGACCATTTCGATTTTTTCGTCTGAGTAGGAACTCGAGAAGTATTCGAAACGTAATAATTTATTTTCCTTTACAACTGTGGCTGTTTCCATTTTCATTTTTGTGTACACGCTACTGTGTTTGTGCTTGTATATACAGGTATGCTTGTCTTGTTTTCTTTGATTTAACCATTTTAGTACTGTTATAAGGTTAGTATATATACAGTCTAAAATACCTACTTTCTTCTAACAACCAGAGGAAAAAATGAGAGAGAGAGAGAATAAAGGGGAGACGAGAGAAAAGAAAGAAAGGGAGAGAGAGAGAAATAGAGAGAGAGAATAAAGGGAAAGAGAGAGAGAGAAGAGAGAGAGAGAAAGATAAGAAAGAAGACGAAAAAAGAGAGAGAGAGGAGAGGAAAAGAGAGAGCGGAGAGGATTCAGAGAAAGAGAGAAAGGAAAAGAGAGAGAGAAGGACAGACAGAGAGAGAGACAGAAAGAAACAATGCTTCCCGCTCGGCTACTCTCACAGCACCAACCCTTCTCCTCCAGCTGCCTACCGTGCCTGCATCTGACTCCGTCCTGGTACATGTCAGCAGGGCAGCTGCACGTGGACGAGACCGGGTCACACTCGGCGAACATGGTGGCCGCCGCGCACTGCTCGCTCACCACGCATGCGCCGCCCAGAGCTACCGGTCCTGGAGCGTTAGGAGGTAGGATTGGCTGTTGGGGTTGCGGGATGAGCGTTGGAAGGGAGGATTCGTTGTGTGTGTGTGTGTGGTGTGTTTTGTTCGCCGTTTATTAAAATTGTGCCCGACCCAATAAACATTCATTATACGGACATGTGCATACACAGAAATAAATGCATATCTATCAGTCTAGACACACATATCTACCTGACAGATATATCGATTGATAGATATCAGATAGATCGACAGATATACATTTAATTCAGAGTATGTGCATGTCCGAATGTGTGGAGATCCAATATCAAAATTGTGCGAGGCCCGACCCAAAGACTATTCGTATACTTGCCATGCATAAATAAAGAAATAAATGCACATTCATGTCTAGACATGTTTATCAACCGGGAAAATAGATAGTTAAATGTATATCTACCACATATATAGAAAGATATACCTTTATTTCTGCGTCTGTATTTATGAAAATTCATTGGGCCGGGCCTCGAACAATTCTAACAAAATGGCCAATTGTGTCGAGTTAGAGGAACGTGGCGGTGACGCTAAGAGAGAAACGCACTTTTTTTTAACCGTTTCTGTTTCACGGCAGAATTTTATTTCATTGAGCTAGGCAGTAGGGAGGAATAGGTAGCTCCCCCTGTGGGAATCTTTAGCATTTTAGAGATATTTTCCGAGATCCACGATCTTCTGGCTTCATTAAGAAAAACTCCCATATATACATACATGAGAATCTATCGATGATAATATACTTATACAAGTTCATTTTGGAATATATCGATGATAATGATATACTTATACAAGTTCATTTTGGCGCCAATTTCAGCACAGCCGTATATCTACACCGTCGCCAAAAAAAAAAGAAAAAAAAATTCTCATACTATTCCACATTACATAATCTCCCCAGGGACTAATGTGCCACAGCGCTTGTATGTAAGAAAAAAATCTATTCCTTTGTCCTTGTTTATCCTTTGTCCCTTTGTCCTTGTTTTTTATCCTTTGTCCTTGTTTTTTTATATCCTTTGTCCTTGTTTTTTATCCTTTGTCCTTGTTTTTATCCTTTGCCTTGTTTTTTATCCTTTGTCCTTGTTTTTTATCCTTTGTCCTTGTTTTTTATCCTTTGTCCTTTTTTTTATCCTTTGGCCTTGTTTTTTATCCTTTGCCCCTTGTTTTTATCCTTTGCCTTGTTTTTTACCTTTCGTCCTTGTATTTGATCCTTGTCCTTGTTTTTTATCCTTATGTCCTTGTTTTTTATCCTTGTCCCTTGTTTTTTTATCCTTTGTCCTTGTCTTGTATCCTTCGCCTTGTTTTTAATCCTTTGTCCTTGTTTTTTATCCTTGTCCTTGTCTTTATCCTTTTATCCTTGTCCTTGTTTTTTTATGCCCTTGTTTTTACCTTGTTTTTATCCTTTGTCCTTGTTTTCCTTTGTCCTTGTTTTTTTATCCTTTGTCCTTGTTTTTTTATCCTTTGTCCTTGTTTTTTATCCTTTCTTGTTTTATCCTTTCCTTGTTTTTTATCTTTCGTCCTTGTTTTTTATCCTCCTTGTTTTTATCCTTCGTCCTTTTTTTTTATCCTTCGTCTTGTTTTATCCTTGTCCTTGTCTTGAATTCTTCGTCCTTGTTTTTTTTATCCTTCGTCCTTTCGTTAATCCTTCGTCCTTGTCTTTTATCCTTCGTCCTTGTTTTTATCCTTTCGTCCTTGTTTTTTCATCCTTCGTCCTTGTCTTTATCCTTCGTCCTGTTTTTTATCCTTCGTCCCTTGTCTTTATCTTCGTCCTTGTTTTTTGTCCTCTGTCCTTGTCTTTTATCTTCGTCCTTCAATCTTTATCCTTCGTCCTTGTTTTTTTTATCCTTTGTCCTTGTTTTTTATCCTTGTCCTTGTCTTTTATCCTTTCCTTGTTTTTTATCCTTCGTCCTTGTTTTTTATCCTTCGTCCTTGTTTTTTATCCTTTGTCCTTGTTTTTTTATCCTTTGTCCTTGTCTTTTATCCTTTGTCCTTGTTTTTATCATTCGTCTTTGTTTTTTAGTTTTTTATCCTTCGTATTTTTTTTATCCTTCGTCCTTGTTTTATCCTTCGTCTTGTTTTTATCCTTCGTCCTGTTTTTTATCCTTCCGTCCTTTTTTTATCCTTCGTCCTTGTCTTTTATCCTTCGTCCTTGTTTTTTTATCCTTTGTCCTTGTCTTTTATCCTTCGTCCTTGTCTTTTATCCTTCGTCCTTGTCTTTTATCCTTCGTCCTTGTTTTTTATCCTTTCCTTTTTCCTTTGTTGTTTTTATCCTTCTTCCTTGTTTTATCCTTGCCTGGTTTTTTATCCTTCGTCCCTTTGTTTTTTTTATTTTGTCCTTGTTATCTTGTCTTTTTTTTATCCTTTGTCCTTGTCTTTTATCCTTCGTCCTTGTTTTTTTATCCTTTGTCCTTGTTTTTATCCTTTGTCCTTGTCTTTTATCCTTCGTCTTTGTCTTTTATCCTTTGTCCTTGTCTTTTATCCTTCGTCCCTTGTTTTCATCCTTCGTCCTTGTTTTTTATCCTTCATCCTTGTTTTTTATCCTTCGTCCTTGTCTTTTATCCTTCGTCCTTGTTTTTTATCCTTCATCCTTGTTTTTTATCCTTCGTCCTTTGGCTTTTATCCTTTGTCCTTGTCTTTTATCCTTCGTCCTTGTCTTTTATCCTTCGTCCTTGTCTTTTATCTTCCGTCTTAGTCTTTTATCCTTTCGTCCTTGTTTTTTATCCTTCGTCCTTTTTTTTTTATCCCTTCGTCCTTGTTTTATCCTTGTCCTTGTTTTGTTATCCTTCATCTTTGTTATTTATCCTTCGTCCTTGTCTTTTATCCTTCGTCTTGTCTTCATCCTCGTCCTTGTCGTTGCCTCCTTTACCTTTGTCCTTTGTCTTCTATCCTTGTTTTTTATTCCTTCGTCCTTGTTTTTTATCCTTCGTCCTTGTTTTTATTCCTTTGTCCTTTTTTATCCCTTATCCTTGTTTTCTTGTCCTTGTTTTCTAACAGTTTCCACTCACACTAAGCAGAAAGAGTCCAAGCGGCGGTACTCACGTGGCTCGCATCCCGGCCCCGCGTCCTGGTACCAAGGGACGCACGAACACACCCCGCTGCAGTGGGCGTGGTCCGTGAGGGTGGTGCACTGGGCGTCCGCCGTGCACCGCTCGCCCTTCTCGAAGCAGTCTGGGAAATGGTGGGGAGGAGGAGGGTCATGTGGTGGGGGAGGATTGTGAACGAGACTAATGAGAGATGACGGATTTAGCCACCGGCTACCACACAGGTACCGGGTCCGTAGACGAGCAACCTGAGACGGAACGGACATCAGTGATGGTGCACACGGAATCAGTACGAACGGACATGGTAATAGGTGAACGATTAGCCATCGGAGCGGAACATCGTCAGAAGCGAACTATCACAATCACCACACAACACAGACATATGGTCATATAATTAGATGATATAATATATGATAAGTGATGTTGTGTGAAATAGAGTGTTATGAGAGATGTGGATGCGTGAGGATTGTGAAATGGTGATTAAAATAGTTACTTTGAAATAGTAGATAATTGCATGTAGGGTGAGGATTGTATGGTTAGATGTAGTAGACTAGAGGATGAGTAATGATATATGCTGTGTATTGGTGATGAGATTATGATGTATGAAGATATTGATGCTAATAATATAGTGCAAGTTAGATAGTTTATATGAGTAGTGATAGAGATGTGTGAATGGATGGTTTAAGTATTAGAGATGTATTAGTTTATTATAATTGCATATAGGTGTACTAGTAGATAGAGTATTATGTAGATTGTTATTAGATTTATATATATAATATACTATGATAAGTAGTAGAGATAGTAAATAGAGTGAGTAACTGTGGTTGGTGTTTGTAAGGAATGATGTAGTGATATATAAGATGCTTTATAAATATATGTATAATAAGATGTATTAGATTATACTTATATAATTACATTATAGTGTGTATGTAGATTTTTCATGTATTTGATAAGGATGGGAATGTACGTGAGGATGTTATTATAGATATATGATGAGGATTGTTAGATATAGGTAGGTATATATGTAATATGAGGTATAATTGAGTTTTGTAATGATAGTGATGATATCATACTATAGGTTTGTTAATAATGATTATACATATATTTAGTAGTTAGATATATTAGAGGATTAGTAATATTTAATTTTATATAATCATGTGTTATATATATTAATGTATAGTGTATAATTACATTGAAGTGTAATATTGTGCCTAATATGTTAGTAACGGGTATATGTAGGAGGAGAGATAGGCATATATGTGTTATAATTAGTATATTGTTGTTGTTTAGGATTGATTAGTATATAGAGACACACACATATATTCATATATATAATAGATATATATATATTATATAATATAATATATATATAATATATATTATAATTGTTAGGATATATATATATTGATTAGATGTATAGAGATTTGATATAGATATACATTAATTATAGTATATTATATGAATTATAAGTTATTATTTTTATATATAATATTGATGATATTAAGTTACACAGCACACACCTAACACTGAAAGCGAGCATTGAACACTACACATACCACGTCACAACACACACACACACCATCACAGCTAAACCACTACACACCACAAGAGAATATATATACGTATGTATATAGTTTATAGATCTGATTGTTTAGATATATTATTATAAATTTATATGAATAAAAATATATGTGCCCTGGTGAGTAATTGAGGATGAGGATGTGTATGCATAATTGGAGGGTGGTGATGTGATGTTGTACTAATCCTATATAGTTATGCAATAAATCTATATAGTGTGTATTTATATATATATATATATTTTATATATAATATATTATATATTTATGTATTACATTTTATTAATTATATATTATCTTATATATATATATATTTATTA